CAGAATAAGAAATAATGCATTATCATGTTTATCCTGACTTTGGGACCAGCAGGGGCCAGTCCCTGTGCTCCTCAGAGTCCCAGCAGGAGGCCAGTCCCTGTGCTCCTCAGAGTCCCAGCAGGAGGCCAGTCCCTGTGCTCCTCAGAGTACCAGCAGGGGAGGCCAGTCCCTGTGCTCCTCAGAGTCCCAGCAGGAGGCCAGTCCCTGTGCTCCTCAGGAGTCCCAGCAGGAGGCCAGTCCCTGTGCTCCTCAGAGTCCCAGCAGGAGGCTAGATCCCTCTGCTCCTCAGAGTCCCAGCAAGAGGCCAGTCCCTGTGCTCCTCAGAGTCCCAGCAGGAGGCTAGTCCCTCTGCTCCTCAGAGTCCCAGCAGGAGGCCAGTCCCTGTGCTCCTCAGAGGTCATGGAGAGACTTGAAACAAACAGAGCTGATTTAAAGTCTATTTTCTGAGCCACAGGTGCATAGACCTGAGACCAGGACTAATGTGATGGTTCTTCCTGGTTCTCGTCTGGACTAATGTGATGGTTCTTCCTGGTTCTCGTCTGGACTAATGTGATGGTTCTTCCTGGTTCTCGTCTAGACTAATGTGATGGTTCTTCCTGGTTCTAGTCCGAACTAATGTGATAGTTCTTCCTGGTTCTGGTCTGGACTAATGTGATGGTTCTTCCTGGTTCTCGTCTGGACTAATGTCATGGTTCTTCCTGGTTCTCGTCTGGACTAATGTCATGGTTCTTTCTGGTTCTGGTCTGGACTAATGTGATGGTTCTTCCTGGTTCTGGTCTGGACTAATGTCATGGTTCTTCCTGATTCTGGTCCACAGAATATATTATTTCAGATTTTTATTCATGCCTTTTTGATTTTATTCTGCTTTAACTTGTTTGCACCGAGAGCCAAAGCCATTTCCTGGTTTGTGACTTCCTGTTTCTCAGATGGCAATAAAAGGATTCTGTTCTGGTTCTAAAACATGACATTACAACAGTCTCATAATCTTCTCCCCCTGTGGTAAATGGCAGCGTCTGAGAGAGTGTTTTCCGTATTCTCTCTTCAGTGTTGAAAGACGATTCCTATTGATCTAAGGCTGTGTTTTCCCTAATACTGGGTCACAGGATCTGTGTGTGTGCCGCATTCCGGAGACCAGTGAACTCCAACAGGCTGCAGCAGAAGTTGAAAGTGTGTGATGAGTGATTGATGGGCCCCGCTCTCTCGTCTGAAGCTGCCAACTCTCTGCTTCCAACACTAACTCCAGTGGCCTACTTTCTGCTCGTGTTTTCACAGTCTGAGAGCAGCACTCGGTTCAGCCACGAAGGAGCTGACGGATCAACAATCTCCTCTTCTCCTCTCTGTGTAATATATATATATGTGCTTTGGAGTATGGCAGAGACATACGGCATTGTGGGTCATAGGAGGCATTACTGTAGGTCACATGTGATCTTATTATACATTGGAGAGACTGTAGACCATGACCAAACATTAACCATCAACATTGTCTGATCAATAATCTGAATGTGCACTACAGAACCATGTGTCACTTCACTGTGTCCCAGAGCCTCATGCTGCTAATGCACAGATGTAAACAACTCTGTATTTAGTGCCCACAGGGATTCTTAGAAAACGTTGTTGATGAAAAAAATTGAAAAAAATTAAAAAACATACTGTATATGTGTTAAAATATTGATTTATTAATGAGCATGTACGGGAGAAAAGTGTGTCATTTGCATTATAGAGATAATATCTGTTAAAGTACTATAGTAATGGTGTAAATTTGGTTCACTGAACATTCAGAACACACTCGGATTCTGGAATTCTGAATGAGTTCCATCGTCTCGATGGCAACATAATTACCATGGTAACTGTCTTCTATTATGACATTCTATAGTGATGTCATTGCCTGATAACACCACAGACCAAGATGTTCAGGAGATGAACCCAGAAGAGAGTCCATTTACTCCGATTCGAGACGGGTTTACGGTCGAGATACAGTTTGATACAAAACTACTCACAATAAGCCTTTCGAGTTCGCTATATTCTGTAGAGATGGAAAGTAATTACGCATCCACCATGTTTTTGCCTCAAAAGATCGACATCAGCTACAAAGATGAGGTCTGCGAGGTCTTTGAGCTAGCTAAGAAGCATGGTATGGAAATCAGGCTGTGGATGGTGCAGAAAGATGGACCAATCCATAACGCCATTTTCACATATCGTCTGACGGTTGGTGACTTTAGTGCAGACGCTAAAGGACCCACCGCTTCAGAAGCTAAACACCTTTGTGCTCAACAAGTTCTCCCAGAGCTGCGACGTCTTCCTCTTCCGTCTGACGAGAAGAAGAAGAAACGCACTGGCGTCTGCTGGAGAGAACTTCCCACTTTCAAAGACGATGATAACCCCATATCTTGTCATGATATAATCGTGGTGAACATGAAAGGGATTCCTCCCAAGTACACGATTGTGGACGTGGACAAACAGTCGAATCCTTGGATCTTCTACGTCCAGGTCACGGTGGCGGACGTGACTGCGGTGGGACTCGGCTTGGACAAGAAGGACGCTAAAAGGAATGCGGCCTCAAAAGTTCTCAACTCGTTTGGGTACAACTTTGTAGTCAAGGAGCTAGAGCGAAGACCCAAAGAAGACATCACATCTCAGCAGATAGAGACTGATGTTCTTGAGGAGGTCCCCGAGGTTGATGAGACACAACAGGACCAGGAATGTTCTGTAGCTCAAGACGACTCCATCCAGACAGAGGAGACCCAGTCCCCAACAGAGGAGACATCTGTGGACACATCTGCTGCTTACAAAGACAAAGCAGCAGAGGTTTTCCTGGATGATGTTGAGGAGGTTCAGACACCTCCAGAGGAGTTTGTGTTTGTGGAGTCCCCTGAAGACACTGCTACTGATGGTGTTGATCAGGCAGAACTTCTGAGGGGCCAGGAACAGTCACCAGTACTCACACAAACTGTAAGTGAGGAGGTAACGGTTAGTGATGTTCCCCACGACGCCAGCACAACTCAAGAGACTGAGACAGAGGAGGTTGAGGAGTCACAACAGGACCAGGAATGTGCTGTTGCTGAAGACTCCATCCAGACCGAGGCGATCCAGTCCCAAACAGACAACACATCTGTTTTGTCTTCTGCTGCTGCTGCCCAAGACGAAGTAGCAGAGGTTTTTCTAGATGTCATTGAGGAGGTTCAGACACCTCCTGAGGACTTTGTATATCTAGAAACCTGCAAAGACACTTCCAATGATGGTGTTGAACAAGCAACACTTCTGGACGCCATTGAGGAGGAGGTTCAGACACCTCCTGAGGAGTTTGTGTTTGTGGAGTCCCCTGAAGACACTTCTACTGATGGTGTTGATCAGGCAGAACTTTGGAGGGAACAGGAACAGTCACCAGTACTCACACAGACTGTAAGTGAGGAGGTAACGATTTGTGATGTTCCCCACGACGCCAGCACAACTCAAGAGACGGAGAGTGATGTTCATGAGGAGGTTGAGGACTCACAGCAGGACCAGGAATGTGCTGTTGCTGAAGACTTCTTTCAAACGGAGGAGATCTAGTCTCCAACAGACGTCATATCTGTTGACACTTCTGCTGCTGCTGCTCAAAACAAAGCAGCGGAGGTTTTCTTAGAGGTAACTCTTCACAAGTTCCATGATCAGTCTGAAGACGACCACACCACAGACTTTGAAGAAACTGTTGGAAACACAGATAAAAATGGCCCAACAAGTCCTTTAGAAGACTTGACTCTGAGGGCTCAAGAGACAGTGGTCAAGGACACGGTTAGGGCTATGTCACAACCTGATATTATCACCGAGGATGTCGTTGAGTCCTCGGACACGTCTACTGAACCATGTAGGATTTCTCCAACTTTCATAAGAGAGTCCTACTTCATCACCAACGCACTCACCGAAAAACTGTTCAAACTGGCTGGATCCAAAGACCACCGCAAAGCCAGTCTGATGGGAGTCCGTCTGCATCACAGAATCAAGCAGCAGCTGGAGTTAGATGAAAACTCTCAGATGAAGATGAAGAACTCAGAGAAAATCGGTAAAACAGCCGCCAAACGTCTCATGGCGGATTATGGATCGGCAGCCGCAGTCCTGAGGGCGGCTGTGGAGGACGACACAGCTGCATTTGAAGCAGCTGCAGCGAAACATATAAACGCTGAACTGAGATCCTTCCAGAAGCGTCCCAAGTCTGCCCTGTCACGGCTCTTCTCCAGGATGAGGAGAGCCTTCACCTTCTAAGGAGGCCCACCCCAGAGGCCCACCCCAGAGGCCCAAGCCAGAGGCCCACCCCAGAGGCCCACCCCAGAGGACCAGCACCAGAGATCATTTTGGAGGAGACACACGTTGCTTTCTTGAAGATGTGTTCCCAGTGTTTTTACAGAACTTTGAATTATTTTTGAGGAGACATACGTTGCTTTCTTGAAGATGTTCCAAGTCCTTTAACAACACTTTGAACCATTTTTGAGGAGGTCCTTGTGGCTTTCTTGAAGATGTGTTTTCAGTGTCGGTCCTCTACTAGTTTAGGGACATAGCTCCTAAATTCTAGGCTGATATAATTAAATAAAGCATATGCATAGAAATAATTTGTCATTTCATTTCATTTATTGTTCATTTGGTTTGGACACATCACTCCAGATTCTAGCCTTGGGCTAATTTCCATCCTTTGATTGAGGAAGTAAACTGGAGCACCCGGAGTAAACCGGAGCAGCCGGAGGTTCATGCAGAGTCGTCACATGGTGCGTCATTCTCTCCAGGACGTGCTGCAGTGAAAATACATATTTGATAATCATGAATGCATGTTGTGATCTGGGGCAGGTTCTCTGCATCTGACTGCCACCCCCATCCAGAAATGGACAAAGGGGAAGAAAATGGATGGATAGAATACATATTATGTACTTGTGGCCTGTACTTAGCCCATATTAGCCAAGTACTTTTGTAGCGCGTTTGTAGTTTCTTAATCATGTTTTTAAGAGTTTCACATGTGCCTCACTGTGTCTGGCCTATTTTTATTAATTTACTTCTCCCTCTGTCTCCGGTTTGTTTTCCATCCATCCATCTTCTTCCCCTTAATCCATTTCTAGGTCGGGGAGGTGGCAGTCAGAGCTGCACCCAGAACACAGATGTAGTACATTGTTTTCCAATGTAGTGTATTCTGCAAATGGCAATACATAACAGCTACAGCCCGTGTTTCCTTCAGATAAGCCTTATACAAGCGGCTCCAGACGGATTTGTTTTTAGTTTATTTTTCTAATACGGCTCTTTGAACCTTTTGAGTTGCCGACCCCTGGATTAGATCTTAAATCTGACATGTCCAAACTCAGGCCCGTGGGCCAATTGAGGCCCTCATTAGCGACGTTTCCACCACAGGAGTTCCTGGTAAAAGGAGCAGAGTGGAACTTTTACAGGAACCTTCCTCTCCCTCAGCCCTCTCAGTGGTCCTCTCTGTGGTCCTCTCAGTGGTCCTCTCAGTGGTCCTCTCAGTGGTCCTCTCAGTGGTCCTCTCAGTGGTCCTCTCAGTGGTCCTCTCAGTGGTCCTCTCTGTGGTCCTCTCAGTGGTCCTCTCAGTGGTCCTCTCAGTGGTCCTCTCAGTGGTCCTCTCTGTGGTCCTCTCAATGGTCCTCTCTGTGGTCCTCTCTGTGGTCCTCTCAGTGGTCCTCTCTGTGGTCCTCTCAGTGGTCCTCTCAGTGGTCCTCTCAGTGGTCCTCTCAGTGGTCCTCTCTGTGGTCCTCTCAGTGGTCCTCTCTGTGGTCCTCTCTGTGGTCCTCAGTGGTCCTCTCAGTGGTCCTCTCAGTGGTCCTCTCTGTGGTCCTCTCTGTGGTCCTCTCTGTGGTCCTCTCAGTGGTCCTCTCTGTGGTCCTCTCAGTGGTCCTCTCAGTGGTCCTCTCTGTGGTCCTCTCTGTGGTCCTCTCTGTGGTCCTCTCAGTGGTCCTCTCAGTGGTCCTCTCAGTGGTCCTCTCAGTGGTCCTCTCAGTGGTCCTCTCAGTGGTCCTCTCTGTGGTCCTCTCTGTGGTCCTCTCTGTGGTCCTCTCAGTGGTCCTCTCAGTGGTCCTCTCTGTGGTCCTCTCAGTGGTCCTCTCTGTGGTCCTCTCTGTGGTCCTCTCTGTGGTCCTCTCTGTGGTCCTCTCTGTGGTCCTCTCAGTGGTCCTCTCAGTGGTCCTCTCTGTGGTCCTCTCTGTGGTCCTCTCAGTGGTCCTCTCTGTGGTCCTCTCTGTGGTCCTCTCAGTGGTCCTCTCAGTGGTCCTCTCAGTGGTCCTCTCAGTGGTCCTCTCAGTGGTCCTCTCAGTGGTCCTCTCAGTGGTCCTCTCAGTGTGTCCTCTCAGTGGTCCTCTCAGTGGTCCTCTCAGTGGTCCTCTCTTGGTCCTCTCGTGGTCCTCTCTGTGTCCTCTCTGTGGTCCTCTCAGTGGTCCTCTCGTGGTCCTCTCTGTGGTCCTCTCTGTGGTCCTCTCTGTGGTCCTCTCTGTGGTCCTCTCTGTGGTCCTCTCAGTGGTCCTCTCAGTGGTCCTCTCAGTGGTCCTCTCTGTGGTCCTCTCTGTGGTCCTCTCTGTGGTCCTCTCAGTGGTCCTCTCAGTGGTCCTCTCTGTGGTCCTCTCAGTGGTCCTCTCAGTGGTCCTCTCAGTGGTCCTCTCTGTGGTCCTCTCTGTGGTCCTCTCAGTGGTCCTCTCTGTGGTCCTCTCAGTGGTCCTCTCTGTGGTCCTCTCTGTGGTCCTCTCTGTGGTCCTCTCAGTGGTCCTCTCTGTGGTCCTCTCAGTGGTCCTCTCTGTGGTCCTCTCTGTGGTCCTCTCAGTGGTCCTCTCTGTGGTCCTCTCTGTGGTCCTCTCAGTGGTCCTCTCTGTGGTCCTCTCTGTGGTCCTCTCAGTGGTCCTCTCAGTGGTCCTCTCTGTGGTCCTCTCTGTGGTCCTCTCAGTGGTCCTCTCAGTGGTCCTCTCTGTGGTCCTCTCTGTGGTCCTCTCTGTGGTCCTCTCTGTGGTCCTCTCTGTGGTCCTCTCTGTGTCCGTGTCTCCCTGCAGTAGGACCTTTGGCAACATCATGAGTTTCGTACACCAAACCCGTTATTATAGATTTATGCGCCAAACCCATTTGTTTATTTTACGTTTGTGACCGCTCCGGTTGTTGTGGTCTATACGTTTTTTTGTAGTTCTGCTTCAGTTTTTTAAAAGTTTTCACGTCTTGTTTTGGGGTGTAATGAATCCCCAGTGCTTCAAGGTAAAGGTGATATGTCTTAATATATTTATTTTTATTTCGTGGCAATGCCTCAATCACTGTGCTGTTGTTTGCTGTTGCCAGTGGTGTCTGCTGGCTAATGCTGCTACGCTATTGCTGCTAGGCTAATGATGCTACGCTAATGCTGCTAGGCTAATGCTGCTAGGCTAATGCTGCTAGGCTAATGCTGCTGGACTAATGCTGCTACGCTAATGCTGCTAGGCTAATGATGCTACGCTAATGCTGCTGGGCTAATGCTGCTAGGCTAATGCTGCTAGGCTAATGATGCTGCACTAATGCTGCTACGCTAATGCTGCTAGGCTAATGCTGCTAGGCTAATGCTGCTAGGCTAATGATGCTATGCTAATACTGCTAGGCTAATGCTGCTAGGCTAATGCTGCTAGGCTAATGCTGTTGGACTAATGCGGCTACGCTAATGCTGCTAGGCTAATGCTGCTGGACTAATGCTGCTAGGCTAATGCTGGTAGGCTAATGCTGCTAGGCTAATGCTGCTGGACTAATGCTTCTAGGCTAATGCTGCTAGGCTAATGCTGCTAGGCTGATGCTGCTAGGCTAATGCTGCTAGGCTAATGCTGCTAAGCTAATGCTGGTTGTTGTGCTGCTTTCTGATGGCGTCTGAGCCTGCGCTAGCATGGAGGAGGTACCTAGCATGTAGGAGGAACTCCGTTGGGCCCCGTAAAAGTCCCCCTGTGGGGAAAGTTCCTGCAGTGGAGACACTAATTTACCGGGGCCAGCCCTGGTAAATTACCCCAAAGTTCCTGCGGTGGAAACGTGGCTATTGTCGTTTTATATGGCCCTCGGCCCTGCTAACCCAAAGCAGTCCTGAAAAAAAATTCATGTCATGGGGGCGACAGTGGTTCAGTTGGTATAACATTGGCCTTTGAGCCCGAAGGTTCTAGGTTCGAGCCCGCCACAAGACCTTCCCACCGACTCCCAATGATGTCTGCTGTCGTTGTGTCATTGGGCAAGACACTTAACCCACTTTGCCTATAAGGAGCGTGGAAGTGATGTTCGCTTCATGCCTTCATGTGTATGTGTGTGTTTGTGTATGCATCAAACTGAAATATCCCCATTGTGGGACCTTCTTAATATCATCCATCCAACTTCAGCTTCATGTGTCTACTTTTGTTTGTACATACTGCACAGACATGTTTTGTGGTATTGTCGCCAACTTGTCATTCAATCCGTGACGCCCCTGGACTAGTCCGGTGAACTAAAGCGGCCCTCTCACCAAAATGTTTGGACACCCCTGTCTTAAATGAATAATAATAACAGTTATTACAGAGACAGCCCACAGCCTTCACCCGACACTAAAATCCTGTCTTTATCCTGGACATTATTCCCTAAACTCTGACCTTCTCTCATTTGGCTGCACCTTCTTTAATGTCTTTTTAATCCTGGTCTTGGCTCGAGCTGCTTCTAATTGACTCTACACTTTCATAAAAACCATATTTCTCTTTACACCGCGGTCATAAACGCAGCGGAGGTTGTTCTTGGCCTTGTAAACCGGAGTGAACCCGGCTCTAATCACCGCCATTTGGACAAAAGTGCAGCTCTTTATTTTCTCTCTTTTTAATCTCATTATCAGCACATTTCAGGATAAGGCTGTGTTTGCTTCAGTTATTACCGCCTCCTACTTTTATATCCTGGTATAAACTCACTTTCTCTTCATCAGCGTTACCGCGGTAATGAGACGCCCACACGCTTTAGCCTCAGCTTGTGTCTCACCAGGACCAGAGGAGATGAAGATAAGATCAAGCTTTACTGGTCCCACTGCGGGGAAATGCCAGTGTTGCAATCAGCAGTTACAGACGAGAGGGAACGACGAGAAGACAGCACAAGAAGAATGAATTATAACTCTACTCTCAAATTGTTTTATCAAAGAGAGAGACCAGAGAGAGACCAGAGAGAGACCAGAGAGACCAGAGAGAGACCAGAGAGAGACCAGAGAGACCAGAGAGAGACCAGTGAGAGAGACCAGAGAGAGACCAGAGAGAGACCAGAGAGAGACCAGAGAG